GCACACATATACATACACATACACATACACATACACATAAACAGTTTGGACAACTATTACAGTAGACGGTAGGAGAGATACACACTAATGGAACTTCTAAATTTGCTGCTATCCAGTGGCCACTGGATATTTGCAAGCCAGAGATAATAAGTCTAATTAATTCAGAGTTAAAATTTTTGATACAATAATTAAGAGGTTTTTTTTTAAAAAAACAATCAGATGAAATCAAATGAAGATGAAAATAACTGTTGGAAGTTTTAGATGTGAATCTTCTTATTTGAGAATGTGGGAAATAACTATCTCTACTTTGATATAATAGGCTTTTCAGCATAGATATTTGAATACAATATTTAGTATTATCCCATGGTATATAAGGGTTAGACTTTATGAATTTTACCGTCATACAAGATTAAGTATATGACTAATGTTATAATTCTATGCAAGCAGACTTAATTGGGATTCATCAGAATGAACACACTGAAATGTACAGTCGAGTGAATACATAAAGAATTGCTATATATATAGAAGATGGAATATATTAGTTTTGTAAATATTTCATATACCCTCCCTAATGCCAATAAACATGGTGGCAGAGAATGTGAATAATTATGTAAAAGCTGAGGAAAATGTGAGGCATAAATACCAGAGGTGGATTGCCAATTTTTTTCACTACTGATTCGGGCGTGCTCGCACACACATGCAACGCTTCTGCACATTCAGGGCGTGTGGGCGGAGCCTCTTGCCGCCGCTTCTATCAGTTTGGCCAATCTGGGCTGAACCGGCAGCAACCCATCTCTGATAAATATTAAAAAACATGAACTCGGATCCATAGCTTCTTGTATATCTCTAGATGTTTCTTTACCTCAAAGGCAGCAGCAGCTTGGTACGCAAATCAGTTTCTGCCTTGGAATTGCTCCATCCATTGATAAGAATAAGAAGCCCCTTGCCTGGCAAGTGAACGTGGGGTGTAGATTCTTGCACCTGCAAGAGGCTGTGATATCAAGATGATCATCTGGGTAAAACACTGGAATCTCATAGTACCATTGCACTTAGTTACATACTGTCTTTTCAATAGAAAGAAATGCTGAATTGGCTCAGTTCCCAGTCAATCCAATCCATAGAGCATAAACATAGAACAGACCTTTTGTTATGAAAAGGTGAAAACTTCAGGCACCTTGCTGTAAGTGCCAGAGAGTGAAGCTATATTTCCAAGGTAATTTAATTCTTATCAGTGACAATCTTAGCAACACTCTCAGCACATAAATTATGGTCCACTTAAAAAATACAACTAGAAGCTGAAAGATAATTCAAAATTTTCTTACATGATGTGTGTTGTACTGTGTTGTGGATCAGTTTTCCATCACCTGTTTGGATGTCCTCAACTGCATATGCCACAGCCATGTTTGCCCCAAATGACAGAACTCTCAACCAATGGACCAATTTGAGGAAGGCTGAGGGGCACTCACATCAGAGGTGGGTTGCTCCCGGTTCGACCAGGATTGGGCAAACGGGTAGTAGCAGCGGCAGGAGGCTCCGCCCACCCACCCGGACACTTCTGTTAATGCACTGCGCGCAAACACATCCAAACCAGTAGTAAAAAAATTAGCAACCCACCACTGACTCACATGCCCTTTTTTGTTATGTATAATTCCTTGAGATCTTGCTTTCTGCCCTGTATAGTGAAAATAAAACACTGTAGTGATCTTAAAAGTATCCAGTCTGTGATGTTCCCTGAGAGCCATTTCATCTCCACCATTTTTCAATACAGGAAGTCCTTGTCTTACATCCACAATTGAGCCCAAAATTTCTGTTGTTAAGTGGAACACTTAAGCGAGTGCCCCATTTTATGACCTTTCTTGCCACAAGTGTTAAGTGAATCACTGCAACTGATAAGTTAGTAATCTGTTAAGTGAATCTGGCTTCCCCATTGAGTTTGCTTGTCAAAAGTTTGCGAATGGTGATCACATGACCTTGGTACACAGCAACGGTCATAAGAACCACTTGCCAATTTTGTGAATTTTGATCACATGATCACCAGGATGCTACAAAGTTTGTAACTGTGAAAAATGATCATAGGTCCTTTTTTCAGTGCCATTGTAACTTTGAATGGTTACTACATGAACTGTTGTAAGTCGAGGACTACCTGTACCGACAATATCAATTTTCAAGGGCAGCATTCTTGCAAAGGAAAGGGGGGAAAAGACACTGTATAAATTGCCATAACTGATATTTGCAAATTGCCGCTTATGCATCAAGGCTTGCAAAACTACTGAGTTTAGGATTCCAGCAATATTATCTTCTTTAACAACCAGTGCGGGAGGAAAAAACCCGCTGCGTATCTACAACCAAAGAAGGACAGACAGCATAATAAGCCCAAAGCTACCAGCCTCCTCAGGCTGCATCAGAAAGAAACTCCAACGAGCGCCTCGAGACAGTCAGAACCCAGTGGCGGGGCGGGACAACTCGTTGCTAGGATCCCCAGCTCGAGTTATACGATTGGCTGTCAACACAGCAACGGAAGACGGGGCCTGTAGTAGGAGCGGGTGTCGCTCTTTGGCCCCGGAAGTGTTTCTAGGGGTGGGAAGTGCTTGGGACGTTACACCGGGTTTGAATGAATCGGGCTGATTCATCGCGGCCCGGCTGAGCGGAAGGTGTCGGGCGGGGCGAGACGAAGTGGGACTCCAGCAACCACTCAACGGCGACAGACAGGTAGGCCGCGTGCGAGCTACGCAGGCGCTGAGAGGGGGTGAGAGCGCGCGCGACCTCTGGGCTCCCCTGGTAGGAGAAAAGGGAGCCGATCCGGCTGGTGGAGGAGCTCGCAGGGTGCTGTTTCCAGGAGGCTGGCCCTTTTATAGTCGGGTGGCCGTTGGTTATCTCCCTCCCTTCTCCCCCTTGTTCGGGAGTAAGGCTCGCTGAGGAGACGGCGCCTTTAAGCTCCCTCTCTCTCTCTCTCCTTTAATCCCGAGAACCCTCGGTGTAAAAAGGAAACTTCACGGAGGTAGTGAGGAGAAATAAAAGTTCAGGCGGACGGAGCTCTTGCCTCGAAAGACGCCTTATCTTGACCCGGTTTGGGGTGGGGGAACACTTCGGTCCTGAGGGGGAGCTCAGGTCTTCCTCCTGAGGTTTCTGAGAAAAGAGAGGCGCCCGGTTTAGGAAAGCAGCGCTTGTCTCCCCTAAATGTCTGTGGAGATTCTCAGTCATCCTAGGTCATGGTTGCCCCAAAGGTGCTTTTTTTCCCAACAGGCAATTGGACTTTTCTGTTTTTTCTTTCAAGAGGTTTCGCTTCTCATCCAAGAAGCTTCTTCAGCTCTGACTGGATGGTGGGGAATCCAGTGTCAGCTGAAGAAACTTCTTGGATGAGAAGCAAAACTTATTCAAAAGAAAAAACAGAAAAGTCCAGTTGCCCCTTGAAAAAAGCATCTTTGGGATAGCTGTCCTTAACTTTCTGAATTCTTATTCTTTTTGAGCTTATATTCCCTTTGAGCCCTCCCGGCCTCCATAGGAGTTTTTAGAGAGTCTTTATTTTGGTAAGGTTGGATCCCTTTGAAGTTGGAGTGATGGAACCCCTATTTTTTTTTTTTAAAGGCAGTCGCTTTGGCCTGGTAGCCAAAAAAAAGGGGGGGCTTACGTGGATTATGAGACTTCAGAATGACTCTTCCGATTCTGTGTGTTCCTCATAGGAACTTTGGGAAACCTGAAACAAAAACATTATGGGGGCCTTCCTGAAGGCATAGCTCCTGCTTGATGGCAGCTGTAGCCAGGAAGAGTTTTGTATTACTTCATCTGATGTGACATCTGCACCTGTTCCTGGATCTGGAGGTCCATCAGACTAACAGCTTAGTCACTTCGTAGCTTGACTACAGCAATGTACTGTATGTGGAGCTGCCTGCAGTGGCATGGGAATGCTTAGATAACTTTTATGGTCATTTTTGTTTCTGTGCGCACTCTGGCACACATTAAAAATGAAATTGCCTGCTCTCAAAAGTCTACGCATACATGACACACACATAAATGTGTGTGTGTGTGTGTGTACACACACACACGCATATTACAAACTAGGAGTGTCAAACTGATGGCCTGTAGGCCAGAGGTGTCATGCACAGGCCATACCCACCTCAGCTCCGCAAAGGCAAAATTGTGATACATCATGATGTCACGTGACGCGATGGAGTTTGATACCAGTTCTATATACATTTCTTCATTATACATTTACATGGGTATACATACATTTACATGGGTATACTTTGCAAGCTGCACTGGTTGCAAGTTTGTTTCCAGGTGAAATTCAAGATGCTAGTCATTACCTATAAACAACACCTTGCATAGGGCCTAGCCAATTTGATCCAACAGTATCAGCCCATTTTGGGTTCCTTCAATTAATGCCATCACTTGGATTCCTGGAAGTCACTTTTTCTGCCTGGCAACCTGCTCTTTGAAATTAGGTTCCCCCACAAGGTTCAGATGGCCTCAACCAGCAGGAATTCTGAGTTGCCTTGCTTGGCTCTTAATCCAGGCTTGGGTGAGGTGATTAAAGACCCTTTTAGGTTGTGTGGATTTTTTTTCATTCCTGTCCAGTTTGTGCTCTTTTATTCCTTGTTTTATTCCTTGTTTTTTCTTTTATTATAATATTGGTGTATTCCTTGTTTACTTGTGGACCATCCAGAGTTGTTGTGAATTGCATGTTATATAAAATTTAAACATAATTTCTTTTGTAAATATTTTGGAGAAATTGAAGGCTGGCATAGAAGAAGCCAAAGTTAACTACTCACGTTTTTTTCTAGCTTCTACCGGTCCAGTATACAGATAATCCTTGAGTTATGACAGGACTTGAATTTCTGTCTTTAAGAGATGCAGTCATAAAGCTCAGTGTCATGTGACTATTGCTTAGCAATGGCAATCTGGGCAATTCCCATTGCTGTTTTTAACTGAACCCCAACAACTGTTAACTGAAGGCCACAATGAAGTACAAGGTGTTAAGGGACTGCAGAATGCATGGGGCCAAAATTGCAGAGATGTGGGAGAAGATGGGTAGGTAGGAGTTACACTACCTTTGCTGTTACAAGTTTGGGTGGACGGCCAAGTGCCTGAATTTTGATCACATGACCTTGGGGTGTTGCAGTAACCATAATTTCAGGAACTGGGCATAAGTATAATTTATTCAGTGCTGCCATAACTTTGAACAAATGGTCTTAACACAAGGACTACCTGTATTTCTTTAGCATATTTTAGTAGATAATATTTTCACTAGTTATTTCTCAGAAGTTATTCTTGCCAAGAAAGCTGTTGGATGCCTTTTGCTTTTGTTGCTGTGACAACAATATTTAACTATTATTATAAATTCTGTTCATTTTTTTGTACTTCTGTTGTAAAAGTAGATTAAAAGAATGCAAATGCAGTTCTACAGATATGCAGGTAGATTTGAAGGATTAAAAAATAAAGCATTTCCATTTAATATCTTTTTGCATATAGTATCTTGCCCTGTATGCATACAGGTTATCTTTGGTTAACTGTTACTTCCTCAGTGACCATTCTGAACAAGTCTTACTTATGACCAGTCCCCCAAATTTAGGCTGTTCTAGCACCGCTGCTATCACATGATTTTAATCCAGGTGCTCAGCATCCAGCTTGAAGTTGTGATGGTGGCAGTGTCCGGCAGTTATATGAATACTGGTTTTGACCTTCTCTGCCAACTTCCCACAGTCAAAGTCAATAATTGCAGGTGGCTGCTGTAAGTTACTTCCCTCCCACCACTTTTCTTCTAAGGCGTTCAAATATGGAGTACAAGATCCCAGGGATCTTATACCCCATAGTGTGTGCCTGCAGCAGCCACCCATCCTCACCCAGCATCAGCCATTACTTGTTGACTGTGCTTGTGCTATGACACTGCAGTCACACACCCACAAGCCTGCTTGCAAGCTGCCTAGGACTTGAGATTTCCTGCCAGCTTCCCCATTGACTGGGCTTGTTGGAAGCCAGCTGGAAATTGTGAGTGGTTCTCATTGATGATTTTTGGTTAAGGGTGGCAATACAGACTGCTGGGATTGCTGTTGCTAAGTGACGCAGTCATTTGACATTATGCTTTACAACCACATTGCTTAGCTTATGCTTAAATGGAAACATAAGTTCCAATTGCTGTTATTAAGTAAAGTGAACCTGTATTTTAAAACTCAATTGACTTTGTTTTAATATACATTCAATTCTATATTGTATTTATATTTCAGCTATTGTTGGAGTACGTTGTGTGAAGTTTATCCCATCTCAGTGATTTAGGACAGGTAAAAAAGTAACTTTTCTATTACTCAGATTTACACAAAAATCTTTTGTGATTTCTATTTATATATCTGTATAAAGTTCTCTGAATTCAAAGTGGTAAATGAAGTGAATTACCTCAGTGTTTTTTATTTGCATTTTTGTAACAAGCATGTGTTTTACTTTGTTTCTGAACAAACAAGGAGCAAAATTAAGAAATTAAAGAGAAGTAGAGCAAACTTTGGGCACCAAAATTTATCATTAGCTATCTGTTTCAAATAATTAGCTCACTCAGAAGATTTTTTAAAATGCTTGGGGATAATTTGTACTACATTCTTATCTGTCTCTTAGGGTCTGACACAGGGATGCCTTCATAATAAGTGTTAGTTAATTGGGATATTTTAACTGGATGAAATATGAAAACTAGGAATGTATAATGTAAAAAGCTTAAGGTAATTAGGAAGGCCTGTTTGTGGACACTTTTTGGTGCTTATATTAGTTAATAATTAATTTTTGATGATTCAACAACATTATGTCATGTAAAAATATTAAATGTCATTCAGCATTGAAAAATGTAGGCATTCCATAACAGATAGTTACAGAAATGTGATAATCATCCACTATTTAGAATACTGTAGATGCTGATCTACAGTTATCTTAGCTGTTGAGATGAATTGTAGAGTCATATATATCTATCTCAAATTTACCAAACATATTTATTATTAATGGTATTGAGATAACATGCTAAGTAAAAACCCAACTGTCTAAATACACATTCATATATTTTACGTCTCTCATGAAGTCCTGCTTTGCTATAGCCTAGTTTCCTGAGTGAATACATCTGTCTGACTTCAAACAGCACATTAAGCCTGAATCTTCTACATTACAATAGGCTAGGAAAGAATCCAGCAATTTAATTGTTCTTCCATGTTTGGAAACTCAGACCTCAATAATTCATAAAACAAATTTCTTAGCAGTTTTAATATGTTGATTTTAATTTATAAATTTGACTTCGATAAGAATGGTACTTTTCCAGTTCAGCTTATATTGTAGAGGCAGCTTGATTGAGACTCTCCATAGAAACCCACATATACATTGCCTTTATTAACTTTGTCTAACACGTCTAACATATACAAAACAGAATTTTATGATAAAAAGAAATCAATGTAATTTATTTCAGATAATTTCTATTTGACTGCAAACTCCCCTCCAGGTTCACAAGTCTATTGATTTAAAAACCAAATTAAACTTTCAGTTGATTCAGGGATGGGTTCACAGCTGTCAGTTCTCCAATTCTATGGAGGGATTGTTCCATGGGATTTGGAGAATTGGCAGAAAAGGAGCCACTCCCCCCCCCCCCCGGTCTCGTAGAGGAAAAGAAAGAAGGGAAGCTTTTTTCAGTGCCAGTTCTCCTTTCCCCTAGCAGAGTGGAAGACACCAAAGAGCCACTTACCTTCCAACAAGGGAAATGGAGTGAAAGAGGCACTTCTAAGTAAAGCTGTGCCCATAGGTGCCAGTGAAAGAGCAGCTCCATCATGGGGCTACCAGCTGCTCTTCTGCAGGCAGAGGCATGGTGGAGCTACTTGTGATTTCCATGTAGGGTTGCTGGCAGTGCTGCCAGGAAGCTGTAGTTAGCTTCACTATGGCTTCCTCACAAGGCTACTAGTTCTGCCAACAGTGTTGCCAGGAATAGCTTTGTTTTATTTTATTTTATTATTTTATTTTATTGTATGTGTATGTCCACCAATCAACTGATAAAACTGCTGGAATTGTGATGCCTTGATGTATCTCAGTGGTTTACAGTTGATTGCTGGATGTACAGTTAAACAGTTACCTGAGGCTTAAATATTGCAGGGCCTAAGATGGGAGTAGCTATACTGTGGGGAAAGCATCTCTGCGTGTGGCACTCTTGCAATACAACTGAACCTCTGGGGAGAATTAGATCTTTTTATGCAAAAGAGAAGTGGCACCAAAAGACCTGCTTCCCTTCTCCCAAGCAGGAAAAGCAGGGAGCATGGCTTCCAGTATTTTCTCCCAGTTCTTTAATTTCACAGAGATTGGTGAAGTAATAGCAGAAATCCCACTCCATTTTTCTTTTGAGAGGGGATGTTTTTTGTTTTTGGGAAAACGTGTGCAGGTTGTCCTCAACTTAAAACCACAATTGAACCCAAAATTTTTGTTGCTAAGCAAGGCAGTTGTTAAGTGAATTTTGCCGTATTTTACATTTTTACATTTTTTTGCCACGGTTAAACGAATCATGATTGTTAAGTGAATCTGGCTTCCCCCATTGACTTTGCTTGTCAGAAGTCAGCTGGGAAGGCTACACATGAATCTGGGACAGTGCAACTGTCATAAATAGTTGGGGTTTGGCTAAGATCTAAATTTAACATATAAATAGTGGAGTATCTTCTCTTTGCAGTGCGGAAAGGAAGAAGTGTAGACGAGCCCTAAGTGAGATTAAAGATAGATCCGGCTGGTATTTTGTGAAGTCGATAGAAAATTAAGAATAGATAGTCCTCAACTCATGACCACAATTGAGCCCAAAATTTATATTGTTAAGTGAGAAGTTAAGTGGGTTTTTGTCCCATTTTGCAAATTTTCTTACCGCATTTATTAAGTGAATCACTGACGTTATTAAATTAATAACAAGATTGTTAAGTGAGTCTGGCTTCCCCCTTGTCTTTGCTTGTCAGAAGGTTGCAAAACGTGATCCTGGGTCACTGCAACTATCATAAATATGAACCAGTTGTCAAGCATCCAAATGTAAATCAAGTGACCATGGGGATGCTGCAACAGTCATAAATCTGAAAAATGATCATGTCACTTTTTTCAGTGCCATTGAAACTTCAAACAGTCACTAAGTGAACTGTTGTAAGTCGAGGACAACCTGTATAGGTTGGGTTGTCCTTTTTTAACAGAACATTCTTATACTGTAAAAGTTTGCTTAGACTTGAAAAGTGTTTCAGAATATAAAATAAAGGGTTTTTTGAAAGATATCTTGATTAATTGTTACTTGTGTTTAGTAGGAGCTTCACTTTGTATCTAAACTTGGAGACTCCACTAAGAACTGGAAAAACATTGTAGAAATAAGCTGAAAACCAGGTGAGTACAGTGTAAAATTAAGTACATGAACTGGTTCGTGGCAGTTCTATTTAAATTGCTCAAAAATGTCATTCTAGTATTAAGGATAATGCGATGGGCTGTGGAAATATTTATGTATTCCGTCTCAGTTCAGCTCATGCGTTATGAAGAAAAATTAACTTTTATTGATTGATCTTTACTAAAATATTCACATTGTATTAATTGGATCCTATATTCACATTGTATTAACTGGATCCTTGATGATGATCTGAGATAATTAACTTTAATTAAAAGTAATGAGAATTCTTTTGAATTGTGCCCTCTGGGCATGATTATAATTCTTTTTAATTTTTAATTTTTAGGGAAACCTTTAGTATTTGTAACTTTTTGCTTTTGTCTGGCTACAGTTAAACAAGTTAAACAATGTGGTAAGACCAGAGACATAGAGAGCAGCATGTAGATAGAGATAGATATTAACCTAGAACTTCAGGCCATCTTGCTTACTGCATTAAAGTTCATGAAAAGTACTTCTTGATTCATAGCAGCAGCTACATCTTTTGTCTTGGAAGCTGCTGCCAGCTGATTCTGCTCAGATGTACACGCAGAGCAGCCTCTGTTCTGTTATTTCAGAAGCATCTCCTAAAGATTTTGGACAGCCCTCTTGAATATTGTATTCAGTCTAGGTCACAGGTGGGAACCAGGATCTGCCAGATGTTGGTAAACTACAGCTCCAAGCAATTCTAGCCAATATGGACAATGTTGGAGACTTGGGCTGTTCAAACAATTTGAGTGAAATGCTCCTTTAAATCATTTGCAGTCTTAATGAGGAATGCTAGATGTTTTTATTCATCCAGAAGTCGGCACTTGGTGACATGCTAATAGTATTAAAAATGTTTCCAGTCATATTACCATGTTGCATGTTAAATATTTTACTATTAAAGCAATATAACAAACAGCAATGAGATTCATTTTCTTTCCACAGTATTTCATATTTAATGATATCTGCAACAACTATGTAGCCCTTAATATTTTAACTAAAGGCATTTAATGTTTACTTTATAGTGTTCTTTTGGTGTAATGAGTTCATTAAAAAAAGCGTTTGATGCTAATTCAGAAATCTAATCTGTTCAGTGTCTTTCACATGCAGTTTTGATGCTAACTGACAAGCTGTAAGTTAATTAGCACAGAACTTACTAATGAGGATGTTAAAAATCTTCACTTTTGAATTATTTTTATATTGATGTGTTCTGGATAAATTGAAGGAAATTAATCTGCTGGTGTTGAATTTTCTTTAGTTTGCTGTACAGATGCTTTTTGGGGGTAGGTGGGATCAGAGGAGGAAATAAATGAATTTTGCAATAAAAAAGAGAGTTAAACAAAAAAGCTTATCTTTTTTAAAACTGGGGATAACCCAAAATCAGTACGCTTAAAGTGCAGTTGTTAATTAGTATGGAAGACAGCTTCTTGAATTAATATGTGGTGTTAATTAACAGGAAGTCTGATGTTGTGTTGTAATTACGACCAATATTTTTGACATAATGAGTGACTGAAGGTGAATTTTATGGAGAACAGTTTGGTAAACACATCAGAACCTAGGTATGCTATCTGTTTGTTTCTTTAGGAAATATGGATCGACTTCTACGACTTGGAGGAGGAATGCCTGGTCTAGGACAGGTTAGTATTCAGATTACCAGTAACCTTTTTTGAATTTAGATTACAAACTTAAAGCTTGCCCCTCCCTGGAAAAATAACCATTTGAGGAATTACAGAATTACAATTCCAAAAATTGTATATATAGTAAGTGCAGAAAAGTAAGCATATGTTTTTGATAGATTATCGTGTCTCATTGTAGAAGAGTACCTGCACATTTGCTGTAACAAAACATTGCAGTGTCCTCCTTCACCTTAAAGTTTGACACTGACTTTAATTTTCCAAACAGACCTCATATTTGCTCACTTTTATTAAGAAGCAAGATCTTTTTATTTGCTATATTATACATTCTGATCCATCAGGTAACTGGAAAATTTCACATGATTTTATAAACATAATCTTCCCCAATTAGTTAGCAGATGTTATTCTCAAACCTTTTGCGTGTGCTCATTTATGCTGTTGCGACAGGACTGTCACTTCTGCTCTATCTCCTCAAAGTGAGATCCCAGATCTGCCCCAAAGTGTTATCCAGCTCTCTGGATCAGGTTTGCAAGAGATTTAAAATCTTCCCATAGGAAGAATATCAGCAATAAAACATAATCACACCATTGGATCCATCTATGGAATGCACCATCTTTTTCACTCTTGTAATCCAGATTAATCTTTCTCATCTCTATAGGAATGACAATTTCAATCATGTTCTTGACTTATCCATATAAACAATAGTTGAAAAGATTGGGCAGTTGGTTTGAGGCTTGGCAATTTGCTTGCCAATGTTTTTTTCATCATTTGAGGAGACATTGTCAGTGCGCTTTGAATTGTGCTTGTCTGTCAGAGCACTGGTCTTTAAATACCTTATGTCAGTGATGATGAAACTTTTCGGCACCGAGTGCCCAAACCACCTCACAAGAAGTCGAACCACCTAATCAGTAACAACAACCAGCCATTCAAAAAGACCGCAACCAGACCATGACTCAGCAATATCCGAACAAACAACACTAATTTACATCATACAGACTGTACTTAAAACCAAAGACCATGACTCAGTAACAACAGCCAGCCAATCAAACAGTCCGAAGTCAGGCCATAACTCAGAAGTAGCCGAACAAACAACATCCATGCTAATTTGCATCATATAAAAAAGTATTCAAAGACCAGTGCTCTAACAGACAAGCACAATTCAAAGCACACTGACGACGTCTCCTTGAATGGTGACGAAACATTGGCAAGCAAATTGCCAAGCTCAGAGTTCAGACCAACAGCCCAAATACCAACCCGACCTACTTATATTCAAATACATTTCAGTTGAAAAGATGCCCATGAATGTTTATACAACTTCTACCCACTGGTTTCAAAATAGATAAATGAGAGCCATTTTATCAAATAGCAGTGTTGACTTTATTAGTGCTAGACAGATTACTTAGTGTCATTTTTAAATTGATCCATCATTTATAGTTTGTATATTATTTTAAAATACGATCTACAACAGTAATAAAATTGTAAGAAAGATCATAACTATTCAGCCAACAAGTACCCTAATGAATACTTTGGTATATTTTTTAATGTAAATGTAAAATGCTTCAGCAAAAAGGAGTGTTCAGACCTGACACTGAAAGGAAAGCAAATTATATATCTATGGTGAAGGCATTCCAAAGTAAAAATGCCATCACAGAGAAGGCTTGCTGTTTTGCAAATGCATAATATATTTCTAATATTCAGAACTATTAATGCACTTCTGAAGAGCTCAATGCATGAGCTAACTTTACAGATGGAGGTAGTCTTTTGGCTAGCCAATGGTTAAAAGGAGCTAGATGTAAAACTCTTCCTTTTGATTTCATACTGTGAGCTGCATTTATATCTGTCCATATTTTCAATTATAGAGTTTCTGCTTTAATATAATGTAACTTAGGATACAGACATTATTTTTCTCCCTGAAATTGAATATTTCATTGAATTTTTAAGACTACACTATTAGTTTAGGTATTTATTTTAGGTAATTGTGCAACTAATCAAGAGTATAGTGTATTACTCAAAGCAGAGTTTTTCTTTTTAAATTTTAGCAAGTATTTACATTTTGCACTTTCTTCCAGGTGCTTCGCAGTGAACACTGTTTAAAAATACATTTTTAACACTATGCAATTGGAACACTTCTCCTGAGCCTCATTCTTTAACATAATAAGAGATTCATAATTATTGAAGTTTTTCTTAGTCAGAAAATTAGGAAAAGAGACATGCTGAATTTAATATATTAACTGTTACTTTGTTCTTGCAATGCAGCATGGTGCAATGGTTAAGGTGCTACACTGGGAGTGAGGAAACCCAAGTCCTCACTTAGGCATGAAAGCCAGATGCTTATTCTTGGGCCAGTCACTTCCAGTTCGGTCCTAATCAGCACACCACTCTGCATAAGATCTTGTTGCATCATGTACTGATAGCTTTCTTGTAAGAACAAGGTGACACAAATAATAAGTAGACTCTGCAATCATACAAGACAAATACTAGGGGAAAAGCCTCAACTTTGTTGTTTTTTGTCTCCTGCAAGGATCTATTTTGATAGTGCGGCTTTGTGATAGATAAGTCAACATATTTTTAAAATGAGCAAGAAAATTGATAGCTATCAGCCTCCTTTGGTTAAGTAATGACAACATAATTAAAGTAATCTGTCTCATTATGACTGACACCTTTTTATAAAATGTATTGTCCAAGGTGTGAAGCTAGTCCAATTTGTCCTGGAAGGCAGAAATCTAGAGGCAACTTGCATCTTAACATGGAAGACTGAATGCTGGTTGCCTGGAGCCTCTGATTGAATGGGAATTGTACTGCCATTCCACACTGCAAAGCATTAAATCTTTTCAATCAAAAGTAAAGAGTTTTGTTGAGTGTTTCCCTCCATGCTATGTCTCATGCTGGTCTGGAGGTTCTCAAACATTTGAGAACAGATTTGGGGATTTAAAAACAATAGGAGAAATGGTCTCTTCCAGCTTCAGTTAGTTGAGGCGTCCACTAAAATCAAGTCTCTCCATGAGCATGAACACCTTAGGGTGCAATCTGCAGTATTTTCTTACATATAGAATATTATTAATGTATGGAAGTTTCTGAAATGTGATTGAACAACTATAGAAACAAGTCTTCGATAACATGGGAGAAAAATCCTACTTACAGAGGTGTTGAAGGTATTTTTTAGACTAAAAGCTGAATAAAAGACCTTTGGAAACTTATGAAATTTTGATGCATTTCTGCTTGTTAATGCCTCATCAGCAAAATAAGACAACTTTCACTAACTGTTTCTGTATCCTGCTGTATCCTTCTAAAAGCTATTGTGGACAATCAGAGGATTCAACAGGGAAATGGTGGTGGCATGTAATTCAGAGAGCCCCAAAAGGAAAGAGAAATTGGGGGAAATGATACCATTTTTCTGTAAGTGGAGATAGATGCTAGAACAAATGCCACTTGTAAGAGTCCATATCATGAATATTGTAATACTAAATTACAATTTACATGTGAAAATAGATTTTGAGTCTCTTTTATCTACTTATATCTATGCTTGGATTTGGACTCCTCCATCACTTACAGGACTGTACAGGATTGTTGATTTGTAATATAACTAGATTTCTCTGAGGATTTTTGTATCTTAGTAAGTAAACGTGGAAGGTGAGCAGAGTTGATCTGGTTAGCATTTCTATAATGGACCAAAATCCCAGACTCTCAGTTCAACTGGGCTTTTGGAAAAAAAAACCCAGAAAAACAAAAACAGAAGCCTAGGAAAACCATCTATGCAATCCCGCCAAGGATGGATGCAGTCATCAAGAATTGAGCTGAACTTTTTACATTTTGTCTCAAGACAAAATGTCTTAGATTTAGACATGTGATTGCTGTAATTTGTAGGATTTCAGCAATTTGAAAGTTGCCGTCATTATTATGCATGCCAGCTATCCTTATATGATGGGGCCTCACAGAACTATCAATGATATGTAATCTTCCTATGCTTTAAAAAGATTTGGGTTAAAAAGATATGCCTGATTAGTTACATATGAATTGTTTTCTATTATAACAAATTCTCATTCAAATACTTTCTTTACTTTTGAAGGTAAAATGTGTTAATGACTTTATTTCCCAGAGCATTTTAACATGAGCATTGTATGTATTGTTCCCTGTTTTCCCATACGATTTAGAATAGAGTAAATACTGATGATAAAATATTTATAATATTTGAAACTTTTCTTCATGAAAAGTAATGTACATTATGTGGGATAAATTTCTATACATGTGATGCGTTAAGATTACTCTCCTTTAAATGGAATATAGGTTGGTTGTGCAACTTAAAGATGAGAATGCATGTCCAATTTAAAGATGAGAATGAGATTCGTATGCCCATGACTGACTTGAATTGAAAGTTTTAAAATATATTTCTAAATTTAAAAGCAGCTTATCTAAAATATTGCATACTGTGTATAATATCGCATAATTATGACAAAAGTCTAGATAACAATTCCAACATCTAACATACACTTTTAGAATTACACCCAACTTACTTTTGGAATTTCCTCGGTTTTTGAAAGCAGTTTACTTTCTTTAGCAAAGAATTCCTATTGTTGCAAGGAAACAAAGTAGTATACCTACAATTGTGTAAGCTAAAAGAAACTCCACTAGTATAGAAGATTGACGAAAAGTCTGAACATGTTAATTAGTACCATTTTCTGCTCTACATGTCTGTTTCAATGAAGCATATAGGAGTCAAAATCTGATCTCTTTCTTGTTTTTGGGACCACCTGGATCTTTTTGTGACACCCTTTGGATTTAGATTAAATGTGGATATAGTTTTGCTGCTCCTGGCTATGACTCGCTAAATATTTCTGATTATCAGTTGAAGAACTTTGCATACAAACTTCAGAAATGGGCACCCCCATATCTCTCTTTTCTGTGCTCAAAAAGAGAAGATTAGCCGCCTATGATAAGCCAGGGTTTGTTGAATTCATAGTTTGCTTTCAGTTAAGTTCCCAGAACATTGATTTTGGATTCGACAC